GTGTCCCTACACTAGCCCAACCAATAAACTCGGTGATTTATCATGACTTCATCGTGATTATGGCAAAATATTGCTATGTAGAGAAACAAGAGCACTGGTACCCTGTTCCAGGCACCAACTTAAGCTCTTTGCACACGGTCCCTTAGACATCACACGGACCAATTAATGGAAATAACTAAGGGATGTAGCTCTGTGGTAGAATGTCTGTCTAGCGTGTAGGGAGTTCTGGGTTTTCATTCCCCAGTAGTAAAAGAACAAAATGATTGGTGAGTAAAACCTCTGTGTACGTGTGTAGCCATTCAATCCTCAAAGTGAACATAGATTCTGCCATCATCCATGAGTTGACGTTTGGAAAAAGAAAATAACTTAAGACACACTAGACAGGGACTCACTATGTAGCCTTGGCTGTCCTGGAGCTTGCTGTTTAGACTAGGTAGACGAGGCTGGCCTTGAACTCCTAAATATCCTCCGGCCTCTCTCTGCCTCCCGAGTGCTAGAATTAAAGGCATTGGTCACCATACTTGGCCAAAAGCCACCATTTTCAGCTCCCTTCATCTGTTCCTCAACTGGGTGCAGGAAAAGCAGCCACAGCTTCCATAGCGTGGACTAGTGAGAAACCGCAGCTCGGCCTCAGTCACATGGTAGAGGCTTGGAGGAATCGCAGCCAGCCTCGGTCTTCTTATCTGAGCACGTGCACGACTTGTGCCTTACCCATCTTACTACACACAGCTGTGGTGATCAGAACTGATAATTAATGCATCTTTGGAAGTGTTGCGTGCATGCGTAGTTCTTATTATATTGTGGTTCTTTACAAAGGTCCAAGGCTTGCCTCTTTTAATGAGAATGTCTTGGCATAGCACTGGGCTAAGATTTAAATATAAGGAAGACAATTCTTTTGAGAGCCCTGGAGTAGGTGTTTTCCAGGTACCAAGGGAAATACCATTTCCTGTGTATTTTCTAAGTGCCAGGAATCATGTTGAGAACTCACCTCTCACTTAACTCCTAAAGACCCAGAGGGTAGATGTTGTTTCACAGACGAGGGAACTGGAGCTCAGAGTAGCTCAGATGTTTGTGCGGCAGCATTCAGCAAAGAGGTTAAACCGAGATCGAATCTCTCTGTGTGTATGTGCGTTACGTGCGTCTGACATACATATATGAATTGTGTATGTATGATCAAGTTTGTATGTGTGTGTGTATGTTCGTGAGCATGTGTGGAGGTCAGAGGACAACCCTGGGTGTTGGGCCTCGCCTTCCAAATTGTGTGAGACAGAATCTCTTTGTTGTTAGCCATGGTGAGAGACAGGCTAGCTGGCCCGCAGGCTTCTGGGGGGGAGTCTCCTATTCCCGCCTCCTGTCTCAGCATAGCAGCATTGGCTTATGTGGGTTTTGTGGGTTCTAACTCAGGTTGCCACACTTGTGCAACAAGTGTTTACCCACTGAGCCAACTCCCCAGCCCAGGATTCAAATCTTCGTGTTCTTGGTGCTCATTCTAGAACACTGCCTCTGAGGCGGGATCGGACAGAAGTGGAAGGCCCAAGTCAGAGGTCTCAAGCCTTAAATGATTCGGAGAGTGGGACTTAGCTGGCAGGAAGGTCAGCCACAAAACAGAAAAAAACCAAAAGCTTATATTTAGCTTTCCATAGTCTGTCATTTAAAAAGTTTATTTTAGCCAGGCGTTGTTGCACTGGCATAGGAAGGTGACTTGTATATAAGTTCAAGGTCAGCCTGGGCAATATAGTAAAAAATAGTTTTTTTTTAATTTAAAAAAAAAAATCTGGCACGCCTTTAACCCCAGCACTCAGAAGGCAGAGGCAGGCAGATCTCTGTGAATTCGAGGCCAGCCTGGTCTACAAGAGCTAGTTCCAGGACAATCAGCACTGTTACACAGAGAAACAACAAACAACAAACAAACAGAGTCTGTATTATCTTTGCCAAGTCCCCAGGGAGAGTAGGATAAAGAATTCTCCATGTTTTGCTTGGCCAGCCTGGGCTACATGAAATCTTGTCTCAACCCTCTCCTCAATTCCCTCCCTCCCCAGTCAAAAACAACTCACAAAGGAATTGCGCCCACTTGGAAGTGCATGCATGCAATTCCAGCCCTTGGGAACTGAGGCAGGAAGATAGCGCCTTCCAGGCCAGCCTGGACTACAGTGCCACACCGTGTTTCACAGATGAGCCAAACTGTGGCTTACCCAGTTCACTGTGCCAGCCAGCGGGCAGAACAGAACAACAGGCATGGACGGTCAGGTCGCCTTCGAGCATTTGGGGACAAGCAAGACTCGGCTTGCTATCTGGCTTCTGGGAACGTTGGGCTCTGCTCCCAGGTGTAGCTAGGCTATCACCTAGCTTCCACTGGCTTCCACACATTCACCTCCTTCCTAGCCAAGTGCTGAACCTCTGAGCTATGGCACCTCCATCTTCTTCCCTTCCTCTCCCTTCCTTTCTTGTGGACACAGGGTCTTGCTGTGTATATTCCTGACCTTAAAAGACACCTTGCTGGACTTCATTCCAGTGGTTCTCCACCTTCCTAATGCTGCATCCCTTTAATACAGTTCCGCATGTTGTGGTGACCACACCCACCAGCAAACTGTAAGTTTGCTACTGTTATGAGCCATAATGTAAATATCTGATATGCAGGACATCTGATAGGTGATCCCCCAAAGGGGCCTCAATGCCCAGGTTGAGAACTATTAATCTAGTCTATTATTCATGGTCCTTGCTCCTCAAGGTTTAAACCTATTCTGACTCCTCCAGTTCAGAATGTCCCTGACACTAAGGAGTCTCTTCAGGCTGAGGTCCTGACGGAAAGGCAAGGACACTCGGCCTAGTGCAGAGCTGGGTTTCCAAGCCATCTCAGCTGCGCTGTTTCCTGCCTGGCTGTATCAACCCCTAGGAACGAACAGTGCAGGAACTGGGGGTCCTACGGTCAGTGATTCCCTGCACACACGTGCAACCACTTGACAAAGGCAAAGTTCTGGAGTTAGAATCCAGAACACGGTTAAACTGGTCTGGCTTGCGTTTTGCTGCCTAAAAAGATAAAAGTGCAAAAGGGAGCTAAAGCTTCAGAATTCCTGGCTGGCCTCAGAATTACTTTTGCCAATGGGGTTAAGACGTTGCTTTTCCATTAGACCGGAAGGTCAGAGCGCTCAGGGGAAAATTGGACTGATCACCTAACCTCTATATGGACAGTGTCTCACCTCCAGAATTGGGACAGACCTGAGGTGAACTGGGTGAAAGTGCTCCCGAGTAACACAGGCCTCAGCATAAGGAGATTGGGAAGCCAAAGGGCAGAGGCATGGATTCCCTTTTAGACTCCAGTATTCCTTAGTATTGCTATTTATGAGTTCTCAAAGCATTTTCTGAGGTCCATTGTTTCCTAGCACTGACTTTTAACCAACAGAGTAAATCGCAGGATGGCCCTGCAGGCCAGGTGCCTAAGTCTGAATCAGAACTATGCACCGTGACACGGACACTTGCTCCCAGAGTCCACTTGTGCACGTCGTGGACCGCAGGGAAAACTGTACACCCCTCTACAAAGACTTGATTTTCCCTTCTACCTGAGACTGTCCACAATGAACGCAAAACTCCCACCCGTGGAGTCTTCCAGAAACTCAGGGGTTGACGGCTAAATAACTTGCTCGTATCCTCACAGATAGGGAGGCACAGCGTTGGGCGGGGGTCTCCTCCTCTCACTGCACCTTCTCTGCTGAAAAAAAAAAGCCATAATACACAATAATATCACTAACAATGGCGGCTAATACTGTATATTATTATTAGAAGTTAGTCTTCTAAGCTTCATGTTAATCCATTTAACTAGAGGGGAGAAACTTGGTACAGCATTCTTTTAATTAAAGTAGTCCCCTGCGAAACAATGTTTTTTTTTTTTTTTTTTTTTTTCTGTCTCTTTCTCAGTTGCAGGACACTGCAACCCGAAATCACAACTTGAGGTTCCTGGTGGTGCCCGCTTCCTCTTCTAGTTTGTTTAGTCACAGAATTCGATTCCTGTTGGCCGATTCCGCGCCTGCAAACAGGCTTAGCGCTCTATTGAAATGCGTGGGGCTCCTTAATTCTTGTATAAACAGGTAACCCGAGGGGTGAGGCGGGGACCGCGGCCCTAGGGTGGGTTTCACGGGAGTGGGGATGGGGTCGGATCTGGAGCCAGCTTCCCAGTGGTCGGAGGCAAGGCTAAAAGAGGGCTTGGCTGCAGCTTCTCCAGGCTCTGTTTTTGTTCCCTTTCTAGAAACCAGCTGTAACACTAGGTCAGAGCGCATTAAGAATGAGCCACTTTGAACGAGCAGCGCCCAGGCCCCAGGCCCTGCTGTGAAGGCCCCGGCAAAGGTCAGGGTTTGGGCCCCGTGACGTGCCTGCCGGTGCTCTGCGAGCCATGCTCGGCCCCAGGTAAGGACGGCTCGGGAGGTCCCGGCTTCCTGCAGGCCCGCGGCGGGGCTCGCTGCCGCCCTACCTGCTCAGCGCCTTCCCGCCCCGCGAGGCCGGTGGGGTGGGGTAGTACTGCTCGCCTGGGATCCAGGCGGCGTAGGATCCTTAGTCCTCGGGTGGCTTACTCTGTACAGCCCCAGGCGGCCGGAAACCACTCTTGCAGATGTCCCCGTGTGGGGCAGGTGCCACTTTTCTGGGGTCCCTTCTGGATGTCTGAAATGGATGCGACTTTTTTAAGCGGCCAAAGTTCCTAAATCTTTTCATCGGGGCCAGTTCGTCATGATTTTTTTCTTTTTAAAAAAACCTTCAGCCAAGGTATCTGCGCTCCTAAAACAACAGGAATGTTGCACTGGCCTTCGGCCAGCGGAGGCTCAGCGAGCTGGATAAAATTTCAGTACAGATTTACGGGAAGTTGCCGGTGTTGGGAGTAAAAATCTGGTTTGGTGAGTTTAAGGGAAGGGAGTATACTAGACAACCTTGCTACTGTGAGGCGAATGGCCTCGGCTGGGGGAGGGCAGGAGGCGGAGGGAGGGAACCGGGAAGAGCCGGGATCGCAGAGGCACAGATTGCTGCCGGACTCCGCCGCGCGCTCCGCGGGATCCGACCCCGCGCCGCTCCGTCCGGGCCACAGCCGCCCCGCAGCCCGCTCATACAACCCAGTCCCGCAGGTCGCCGAGCGCCGGGACCCCGAGAAGCCAGACTCTGGGTTGGGGAGTTTCTCTCCTCAGGTCGCCCAGGTTAAGAAATTGTGACAATCTGGAATTCCCAGTGCCCGAGAGAGTTAAAGCCTAGAGCGAGCGATCTGTTGCTTTAAGCTACACGGTGGGAAGGAGCTTGGAGTCTCCTTAAAGTTGGTTTTCTGTTTAAAAGAGGGCGGCCAGAGAAGATGTTGTAGGTGGTTGCCTAGCCCGGCCGTGAAAGGTGTTAATTTCTGAAGTGGGCGACGCCGAGTACTTACTGAAGGTAAGGTGGACTTTTGGCAGTCCTGGCAACTGTCCCCGAATCTTCCATAGGGTCCTGATTTTTGCAGAAATTTTTGTCTTTCTCTCTTTTTCTTTCCTCTTTAGTACTAACTCTCATTTGACCGCCTTCCTTCTTGAGTGGGAAGTTAAAGGGTTTCTAAAAAGATTTTTAAAGCGTCAGCTTTTGGAAAAGCAGATAATCACACAGTCAGCCGCTTCATGTTTCCTGTAGAAATGAGCCTTTTTCCATAGTAAAAAAAAAAAAAAAGTTTTGTTTTTTTTTTTCTCCTTGAAAAAAAAAAAACCGGCCGCTTTGAGGCACAGGTGACTAACCGGGGATTATTAGCGTGAGATTTCGGAATTTCAGGTGACTGGGGCTTCTGATTTAAGTGCTAACCAAAGCAGAGGGGGGTCTTCCTGTAGACCTTCACCTCTGAAGGCCTCCACTTTGCTGTTGTTTTCAGTGGAAAATTCAATCTGGAGAAACGAGTGTGACAGCTGACAAGGTCTGCCGTTCAGGGGTGTTTAAGAAATCCATGCAAATGAATGGAAGTAGAATTTTTTCGATAAATGACTCTCAATTAGGTAAAAGTTGACTGGCAAGCTAGTACCGTCCTAAGGCACTTTGGGATGTGGCTTCCTTATTAAGTCTTATCAAAGCGATAAAAAAAGATACGGTCTTCTAGGCACTTACGGGCCACTTTTGATTTGTTTTTTCCATTGCTTATTTGAATTAAAAGCCAAACTTCTTTCCCTTCCAGTTAGCACGTGAGTGACTCACTTAGGAGTTTTCCTTGGGAGGGTTACCAATGAAAGCTGTGTTCTTTAGGCCAGTGAAGTCTGAGGGCCCCCCCTACCCCATGGTGTCCAAGTTGTCTTCTGACTTCCACTCACGGTAGTGGCACCCCTCCAATCAACCAATTAATTAATAAATTTAATTAAATAAATAATACAGATGTATTCTTAGGTCAGGCATGGTGGCTCATGCCTTTTATTCTAGCACTAAGGAGGCCGAGGCAGGGATTTGGAAGGTTTAGGGCCGCTGGGAAGCAAGGCGCCATGGCTCACGCCTTAACCCCAGCACTTGAAAGTCAAGGGCAGGAGGATCTGTCTGAGTTCAAAGTCAGCCTGGAATACAGAGCAAGTTCCTGGCCAGCTGGGACTGCACAGTGAGACTCTATTTTAAATAGATTTTATTTAAAATACAATAAAAGACCAACCAAACAAATAGTAACTAAGAGTCTTACTGCTGAAGTCAGCCTAAGGAAAGCAAAGGGCGGACCACACAACTTGGAGGGTGGGGGACCAAAGGGTGGCTGGTCATCAGAAGTGTTTGAGAATTGCAGATGTAATGACCGCCATATGATTATTTCGTTACTGCTTCATAACTGTAATTTTGCTACAGTTATGAATCGTAAAGTAAGTATGTGATGGGGGGGCTGCCGTGAAAGGGTCATTCGACCCCCATAGGGGTCATGAACCACAGGTTGAGAACAACCGCTCTAGCTGGACCAGAGCCCCCAGCCAAGGGGAGAAGGTTGCATCTTGTGGGGTTCAGGCAGCCACTCGTTTATACAGTGGTCTCTCAGAGCCATATGTGATGGCTTTGGGGGTGCTGCTGAAAACACAGCTGTCGGGGGCAACTGACAGAAGAAAGGAAGGAGAATTTGGGTTCTTGTATTTTCTATGTTCTCCTTGACCTTCCCCTTGCTCTGCTGGGGACACTGGAGGCCTCTGGCCCACCTTCGCCTGACTAGAGAGAACGCACTCATTTCTTCTAGAATGTTTGCAGTCCAAGCTCCAGTGCCACACAGGAGATGTTGTCCCCATCTGAGGACTGAACTCGGTGTCTAGTGCACCAGGCCAGTGTGTTACCCCCAACGACATTCCCAGCTGTCTTAATTTCATTGTATATTTATTGAGATAGGGTTCTTTGCATTGTCCAGGCTGGCTAAAACTTGTGAACTTCCTGTCTTAGGCTCTTGAATAGGTGGAGTTATAAATGTGTATAACTCGAAAAAAAAAAAAAACCAACCAAACAAACAAAAAAACCACTTGTGCCAGCAAGTGTACTTTTTTAAAATCCAAATTCTTAATATAAATAGAATTATCTTTCTGTCCATTATTGCCTTGTCAGAAATGTGTAGGATTCAGAATTTAGCGGTGTTATTTTATGACAGTCTTCAGTTTTTAAAGACTTTTTAAATTTATTATTATTATTGTTATTTTATGTGTATGAGTTTTTTGCCTGAGTGTCTGTGCACCACATATGTATCTGGTGCCTTTGAAAGCCAGAAGAGGGAGTGAGTCCTCTGGAACTGGAATTCCAGAGGGTTGTGAATCTCCATGTGGGTGCTGGGAATTGAACCCAGGTCCTCTGGAAGAGCAGCCAGTTCTCTTAACCAGTGAGTCATCTCTCCAGCCCCAAGACGTACATTATTTGTGTGTGTGTGTTTGTGTGTGTACGCTGCATGTGCGTCTAAGGAGATCAGAAGGAGTCACTTGTGAGCTCACTGTGGGGGCCGGGATCTAAACTCTGGAAGTTCTTAGGAAGAGTGGCCAGAGCTCTTGACCTCTGGGCCTCCTCTTCATCTTGTGCAGTGTTTTGTTTTGTTTGTGTGTGTATGCGCACAAATGTGCCGGTACCTGAGGAAAGAGGAGAGTGAGGCAGATTCTCTTAAGTGGAAGTTACAGGCAGTTGGGACCAACTCAGTGTGAGTGTTGGGAAATGAACTTGGGGTCCTGGAATGCTCTTAATCCCTTAGCCATCTCTCCACAGCACTCAACAGTTTTCTTTAAAGTAATTTAATTTTTGTGTGAGCACATATGTGTGTGCACACATTGTGTGTGTGTGTGTGTGTGCATGAGTAAGCCCTGGTGTATATGTAGGGGCCAAGTGATAACTTTGTGGAGTTAATTCTCTCTTGCACCTTTTTGTGAGTTCTGGTTTTTTTTGTTGTTGTTTTTTTTGTTTTTTGTTTTTTGTTTTTTGTTTTTTTGGTTTTTTTTTTTTTTGGTTTTTT